TGTTTTCGCTTATCCGCCCTGCTGTATGCAGCAGATAAGGCGACCCTTGATAATCTGCGCGACGACCGATGCAGGATGAAGTTTATGTTTGAAGAAAATGTCATGGTTGTATGTGGGCTGAAATACTGCCAGGGCGCCCAGACCTAGACAGGAGGACGATTAGAGTCCTCATCCAAAGCCTTTGGCTCAAAAGCCTGTCCGCAAGGCAGGGGGGTGGCAATGAGTTAGTTTTACAGAAATGGACGCCATCCCATTTCAAACCCCCAACCTGGAGGACCAGGAGATTGAGTTTGTCTGACCTCTCACCACTGACCAAGGTGGTAGGAGTAGCTCTCAAGATTCCCGGAGGCATCACCCAGTATAGCTCAATAAGTCAATGAGGTACGCAAACCGTCGCACCACGTTAAGGTCCAGTCTCGTTGCGACGGCATTCCTGATCATGCGTTGGTATGTTAACATGATTTTGCCTGCAAAGGCGTGCCTCACTTTGTTGAGAATAAAAAAACTTTATTCATTTTATTTGCGACCACCCAAGACTCACCACTGTCAAATGCCTACTTCTACGTTGGTCAGCCTCATTGCCCGGCATGGATCATCCGTGTGCCTGTCCACTTGTCCATTTTCTGTTTCAACGCTAGCCACCATTGCTGTGTGACGTAGTACCCGGTTTCGTTCATCCACATTCTAACTCCTTTCACTCCTACACACAACTACCATCATGTTCAGCCTTATTGACATGGCACCGTTTTCCTTAAGTTGATCGATTCGTATGTCTCTGGCATTTTGTACAGCTAGGCATACCAGACGTTGCCGAAGCACGTTTCCATTGGTGGACGCATACCTATTACCATTGGTTCATTTGGATTCGTACCAAAAGCCCTGTGCATCTCACTTTGATTCCATCGGTTCTTCCGCAGGCCTGAACTCACGGGTCGCTCAAGGATCTGAGCGCAAATTGCTGACATAGTTTTGAGTGTGGAAATCGTTAACGTACTGTCTATATTGATACGATGATTTTGTACACATAGCACCGTTATGTCAAATCCGAACTTGGTTTTTTGTTGAATATTCCAGTGGGGTACGTTTGCCTTAAGTTTCCAAACGCTTTGTAGCGTTACAGTGGTTCCCGGAATAGTTGAACGCCCCGGATACGTGATAAGGAATAGTGCTGGGTGGACACCGTTCAATGGCAAACGGAAGGTGCAACGCTCCGCGAATAGAACGACGGACGAATCTGCTTAAGTCCGGTCACGTTAAAGTTCAGCTATTGTGGAGATAGTACTAATTGGTTCAGTTAAAAACGATGACCCGAGACCGAAATGTAGTAGATGCAGTTGTCACGACTTGCATCGCGAGAAAACTGACGAGTTTTAACTATCAGCTTTCAAATAATCCCGAATACTGATAGCGTCCGCCGCTGGCCAAAAGGATTGTACGCCTGGCTTGCAACCTTTAGGTCAATGGTTCGAATCCGCGTATGGTCGTGCGTCCTCGCAGTATACTCAGCCCACCTGGGACCGGTGGTAGTCACGTGGCAGCGAAGCGTCGGCACAGTGCTGATGACTTTATTTCTTGATTACTGTGAGCTCGAGTTTGTTATTCGCTTGTCGAGTTGTTTGCCGTAGGCAAATCCTCCTACAATTATCTGCAACGATACAGCTGGCAATATTGCGCTGATGATAGCACATTGGCCGGTGACCAACGGTCTGCAATCAAACTGCGCAGCTCAGCGATCAACCCGATAACTGCAGTATTAGCTTCAGCATTTTGAGGGACAAACAGCGACGATGAAGCCCATGAATAAAGAGTGTGAAGTTGATTTCGCGTACTGATTAGTAAATACTATATAAAACAAATAAATAAGTGCAGTGAAAGTGGGGACTCGAAGTAAATTTGAATGGGATTCTTTACGGTTATGACGAGTCAGTCTTGGTACATCCGGAAAAGCGCTAGGCGCCCGTTTCATTCTGCTGGCCTCAAATGGAATACTGCGTCCAGATTTGTCCGCCCAGCCTCGTGCGGGAAAAAATGGAGCTGGAGAGGGTTTTACGGTTGGGTACCAGGTTAGTCGCGGGATGACGGGGACGGGCTGACCCCGAGGGTCTACTTAGTTTCGGAATGCATTCAGTGCACTACCGAAGGCTTAGAAGAGACCTAATCCTAACCTACCGTATCTTAACTGGGAAGGCTGGTCCAGATTAATCTTGGCTATTCAGTCCCGTTAGATTGTCTGTTCTGTGCGGTCATTCGATAAAGCTGGATAAGCCGCGGTTCGATCAGATTAGGGAAGAAATCCGGCTGTCACGCCGAGTCATCGAGAGCTGGAACATGCTTCCGAAAAGTGTTGTCAGGGAATCTACGGTTAGGGGGTCTGAACGGCAACTTGACGCTCTTGGGTGGCACCAAGAAACCCTTCCCCTCTCCTGAGTAACTCGCCTTCATACTTCGATGCTCTTTTCGCTACGTTTCTCCATGCATTCTTTTCTTATTTCAAGTGCACTCATTCTATACTTTCGATTTCTTTTGCTATCCTTTGCTTACTTTAAGTGACTGCCACAGCAGGGACTGCTAGGGCAGGAAAAGTGGGCATTAATTGGTTGGCCAGGTTACGATACGGGTGTTCCGTTGTAGATCCATCAAAAACTCTGAGCAATTCATCAATTCCTGGCTCAGCGATCCACTCAAGGTAGAACGCTCTCGGGATTCCCCTAATGTTCCAGTCTCACCCGGACTTGAACTTAGGAGTATGCAGTAGCGAGCATGCCGTGTCGAGTAGCCCACCAAGAAGCGAGACCGCGATCAAAATCTGGTATGCACTGCACACAAATCTGATCCAATACGCTATTTTACTAGGGTTATCAACGCGAGCAAAAAGAGCAAGCCAGGGGTCATTAAAGCCTATCAGCCATCCACCGTCACTCCGTCCGGCCAGTGAGTGCATGAACCCGCAACTCTTTGATTTCTAGGCAACATTGGGCCACGGCGGACGGGCGACAACCGCGATATAGTGCGATATCCATCCGCTGCTATGCGCGATTCCTACATGATTAGGATAAGGTTGCTTCCTGGAGACATGGATCTCACTGATGGACCAAAGGTTTGGCGTGAAAACCTGATTCGCGGTGGCAAGCACACGTATCGATTAGAAAACCTACGAGGCCTGCCACCTAGGAACATTTGCGTTTGTTAACTCGACGGTTGGATGAATACACACAGCATAACCCCGTACCACTAGAACCTTAGCTGTGTGCCACAGCGTAACACGTCATGAGTTGTTCTTTACTCATAATGAATTGTTACCGACGTTACCTATTTCCCCAGGGCAACTGGCGTGAGCAAAAGATTTCCGCAATCGAAATATTTTCGTTCAATTTCAAGCCTAGTTATAGAGTTTACCAATCATCCGCCTGAGTAAACATCACCCAGCTCGTCAATGTAGGGATAGTACGCATCCACGAAACAGTACGAAAGAGTTCAAGATCCGAAATGAGTCGCTACCAAACAGATCAATGGGGTTTATTGATTTCAGCGGTTTTAATTGTCCCCACTCCATGGCCATACTCGTAAGTAAGGAAAACATCACTTCATGTGAACACAATGCCTGTGTGGACAGATTAGTGGGGTAAGTTACCTGACGAATCACGCATCTGACGAAACAAGCACGGCGTCAAGAATAGGTAAGAGATAAGTGTGTCACATGCATGCACTAGTCACAGTTTCGCTAAACACACACACGTATGTTCCGCAACAGCGTAAATGGTGCGCGGAATGCACACCAGGGATCCAAGAAGCTACGGAGAGAATGTGTTGCATCACACCTTCAGGAGTATGCCTCTAAGGGCGTGCCCGGCATAGACGAGAATAAAGTTCATTTGTTTATTAGAAATTTACAGCATGGCGCCCTTGATGTGCACATGGACGTCGTGAACAACCATAAGATAATTCGATAGAGTTGCTTTAACCAATTGCAAGAGAATCATCATCGCTGACTTGAGTGCTCACATGGACATATTTTACGGTATACAACTGCTGGATAAAGAGGAGCCCATTGACGTGAGCGAGAGACGCGAAACACGCATTCACCATGCCACTTTCGAAGCGAATCATAAGCCGGAACAAACACCGACCGAACCGTAGCGTTGACTTGTGCTAAGAGCAGTGAACCAGAAAGTATTGGGTGCAGTATAATTAGCTAGAAATAACACTATGACGAATGAAAAAACAAAGGCGAGAGAAATGAGAAGTTCAGAAAAGCCGCTGAACTGTGAAACACACCAGAGTAACGTGGGCTCATTTACGTCGACTCAAGCCGTCATAGGCGCAATTACGGTAGATAGCAGATAAACAAACGTGAGGTCATCCTATGAACGGTAATATCGTTGCCCCTTCAGCATGGTAGAACTTTGAAGGTATATATTAACCGATGACCAAAAAGGATCAACTAACAGAAGATGAAGATATCGGTTGGACAAAATGTGGACACTGTAGTTACCAAAAAGTATCAATTTCTAGGAGTGAAGGAAGTTCCAACTCTTTGTGTCATGCAGCGTGAACGAGTTCGGTGCATTTATTACATTGGCATGTCGCCACTACCTCACCGGCATCGTGATAAACATGTTGCGGACAAAGGACACAAGTGCTTACTTAGTAAATATTGCAATTACACGCAGAAGTCCGGTGGCTTTTCCCCATTTTTATAGAGCGATACACATACCACTCTCTTGGCACCAGACGATCTGGGATCGCCCTTCTCGGTGGTACACGTTGCTGTGACTGTGTGTTTCGCGGTGTCGAAAATGCTCTCATTTTATGCGTTACTATGCACTTATACAGACTTCAGTCCACCATGCGGGCAACATTGAAGGAACTGTTACAAATACCACAACGGAAGCAGCTTGACAAGTCCGTTCGCTGTCAAGCAGAGCAGAAGTGGCCTGAAGAATTAACCAACTTAGTCGGCTCGCTGTGACGGAACGCTCGCATATCAACAACAAGTGTAGGCATAGATATCGTGGAGTTGCGATCAAATGCACAGTAACAATAGATAAATTAGTAGGGACTGAGAAACGAGTGATGTTGGATAGAACAGAGAAACATATGGTAGTGAAGTTCAGACGGAAAAGTCCGTTTGGCATAGGGGGTTTAATAAGTGATGGTTGAGTCACGATTTCCAAGGGCAGTACCGGTGATTAGCGCGGATAAACAGACAAAAACAGTAATGATCGAGCGTACATAAGATACAAAAGAAACACGACCGGACAACATAATTTTACAAAGTGAAAGCAGAACAAATCAGTACGAAGAAAAGGGGTGAATGAGAAACAACAAGGGGGACAGTACGAGTGGAACAGTATGGGGAAATGGTACGTATTTCCAGTACCAAATGGGGATCGGAAAATTGGAGACCAAATAAACCGTAGTACTAAATTGAGAGCAGTCGATCAGAAAAATTGCCGAAATTTCGGTAAAATGCGAGAATGCGATGAGCGGCAGTGGGACCAAGCTGATAGGGTCAAAGTAACGGAAGATATACAAACCCCAAAACGGCTGTCGGACAAAAACGGTGCATAGAGGTAAGTGGACTCAGCAGAAAGTAGGTGTGTATCCACGTAAAAAATTTCCGGGGGACTGTGGTGCTATTCATAGGCATCATAAGGATACACCGAGACATGATGATAGCGGGAGTTGGCATTGCCGTGATTTCGGGAAGAATTACGCTTGCGAGACCCATTGGATTTAGGCTTCTCTGGGAAAGGAAACAAGTGCATGAGAGACTATGTTGCAGTGATGGTTGTATACACAAGCGCAATGGTGAGTAGAGTCATTCGCCAAATGCGTATCACGGTGCGCATAAATTGGTGAGACAGAAAGGGAAACAAAAGGTTACAAAACGGGAATGGGATGCAAATCGACCGACCAGTAGCTGCGGGACAAATTAGTTGATGAGCCATTGTAAGGCTAAGCGTTAAAATGATGAGGGATGCATCGGGTCACCAATTTGGTTAAGGTGAAATACGAATACAAGAACGCACACTGAAACCAGATAAAAAGAACATCGAACATTGGGAGAACAGTTTACACTTTCTAAGTAAAAAATGAGTAACCCAAAATCATGCAGAAACAAAGCAATTTCGAGGAGTAGAAATATACAGTTTCTGAAAATGTCTTCGATCGAATAAAGGTAGCACACTACGTCAAAAAGGAGATCAGGTCTTCAGAAACGAAACAGGCCTTCGCCTAATGAGCGACCCGTTTCGTGTGCCGTTAAATAAACGCGACGATGACCAGGAAAGTGACTCATTTGAGACCAAGAAATCGACTATGTGATTAGATAGTGCCAACGGCTTAAAACGAAGTGATGTGATTAAGTAAGATATGCAGGGGAAGTGCCCACCTGTGAACTAGAAGACGCAATAATAAACCATAAGCTTGTATGTGGTGTGTCGTTCGCTGAGCTGAATGTCTTAGTTGCATACGTTTCGTTGCCAAGCTAGGCAACATCATCAATGAGACTTTGAAGGTCTGATTTGCAGAACTCGGTAAGCCACTGCCAGACCCTGGTGAATATTGATCGGTTTCTGCTTTAATTGTCAGCCTTCGATGAACTCAAGTGAGTGGGTCAAACAACTATCTTCCTCGTCCCGTTGATCTGAGGCTAACTGCTGACCTAAGCTGCAGAGCCTAATACACTATCTCCAGTTCTAAATGCGTATTGATTGATTGTGGCCCCAACGCCAAGTCCCGATCAAAGCACGCGTCTTGCGGTTATTCGCATTTCCATTTTCTTGTTGTTCTCCAAATCAAATTGATAACCCTCGGCCTCCACATAGACTGACAGCGATTTCTCACCACGGCAGTGCGTTAGTAGACTATTTTCGTGTGGACTTGTGCCAAGTTTTCTTTATGCCTGGATCACGTAGTACATGTCACAACTTTTACAGATAATTGTGGAAACCATCTCCGACAGGTTTTTGCTCATTTGGACTTGAGAAGTTAGCTTTGAGTCGGTTCAGTTGCTTCATGTGCAACGTGTACCCAGAGACAACAAAAATATCGTTGTCAACCAGGAATTTCTGTAGCGCACGACAATCGTTTTGTCCTCTGTTGAGCTAATGGAGTTGTGGTTGCTTCTTTGAAATCAGTTGCAGTGGGATAAAACTTCCAGAATAGTAAATACGCTAAACATGTTGAATAAGTGGTTCTCCCCGCCGTCTTCAGTTGCGGCGTGCTACAGTGTGTTTAGGCGCAGTTGAAATGTTATCATGTACCTGCGCTGATGAACTGCTGAATGACTATGCGATAATGCAGTATCTGATCGGGGTGTTGTAGTTGGTGTTTCAAACGACCAGGAATTGCGAGCTGCGTCTAAAAAGAAGACGTACTTTTAGTGTAAGGATTTCGCTTTTAACTACTATCATCCTTAAAGTAGTCCCCGTCTACTGGCAGGACACCGTTCCCAACGGTGTTTAAATATTTGGAAAGCCTGCTGGAATGCACTTTCTGGTATGGTGGGCAGGTCTTTCGTCATAACGTTCTATGTCCTTTAAAGGTGATTGTAAGTTGGGGAAACAGGAAATAGTCTGCTGACACTAGGCCCGGAGAATACGGTGGATGGAGGTTTGATATTTTGCTAGATAGCTACGGACAAGGGGTGATGCGTGAGCCGGTGCATTTTGTCAGGGTGCAACATCCGTATGATTGTCCCATAGTTCAAGTCTATTCCCATGCACAGCGTCTATCAAACGCGATACAATTCCCTAGTAAACTTACTGTTCATCATATGACAACGTTGTACGAAGTCCAGCTGGACAATATCTGTTTAGTTAAAACAGACAACCAAAGTCACTTTGATCTCCGACCGACGCGCGTGTGCTTTTTTGGACGTGTAGACCCATTCCACATCCACAGGGAAGACCGCATAAATGCAACAACAAATCACAAGATTTGATTGTACGATTACTGCTTGCCAATGAGTGTGCATGGAAAACATCAATTACATCAGCTTTTGGAACAAGTTAGAGCAGCCAGAGACTTGAGCTGGAGTTTCACGTTTACAGCAGTTTCAACTACAGGGTTTAAACCGATGTTGCTGACTTTCCTGATGAGCCCATGGTTCAAACGAAAACAGCAAGCTTTGAGTTCAGCAACTTTTGCTGCGTTTATGGAAGCTTGTTCAAATCAGGCAGCAACTATTATACTATTTCAAATATTCCAATATAAGTCTCTGAATTTTTCCTACAACGAAAAGTTAATGCATGACGGGTAACATTTGACCACGTTGCTTTACCTGGGTGATAGTATAACTATGTGCCGTTGATAAGGGCAAAAGTAAAAACTGGCGTCTTTTTAGTGGCATGAATTAATAACATGGCCAGTTGTGACAAATTTACCAAAACGCTGAAATGTACGAATTTTAAGTGGCCGATTTTCGTGTGGGCATTTTTGTATTCCTCTGTGTGTGCATTTATGTCTGTGCAGAATCTTCAGGCCCGCTTTTTTCTTGTGGGTTTACTTCCAAGCACCGTCATGAAGACGTTCAAAAATTGCAACTGATCAATATTCTCCTCGTTGGTGAATTTGATGCCAGTGGAAAGAATGTTGATCATTTGTAAGTAGTAGGGGGATTTATTCGGTTTTTGTTGATCAGCTGATGTGTTTACTGAAGTCCGGAGGATAGGTGGATACTAAAAGTATCGACCACGTGACATACCTAAAGTGTAAGTAACGCAATCGACAGTGCCTTCTGTTCCGGAGCTTGTATCACTGCCTCGGCTAACAATCCAAAGGTTGGCGATCCTAAAGATGTGCTCGTTGTTTGTGATAACGCCTTATCTTCGTAAAGGAAATGTGCGAATGGACGGGAACTAAGTAAATCCATCATTTGCGACGTCAATCTTGTGGTTCGTATAGAATGCTCCGTGCTGTTGTATTAGGATCATCATTATTCGCTTTGCTCAATTGGTGCCAATTAGTGTGAAAAGGTTCTAATATCAAAGGGACTAACTATCTCGTCATTTTCCATTGTTATTCTTTTGGATTTTGTAAAGGGTTGTACTACATATTGGACTGGATGTTTTGAGTTCGAGGTCAGGTGTTACCAGTTATTTGGAAAGAACCGGATAATGGCAGGATAAGACGGATCGGTACTTCACTTCTGTGTACTCTGAACAGGGTCGTGAATCCCGGCATGGCAGACCGAGGTTGATGTCAAAAGGTAACCTCGATCGCAAACCGAGAAAGGGAATCCTCGTCATTAGTGGCTATGCACGGATCCCACAGGATGGCGAATGATACACATATTCAGAAAAAGACACTCGATGGAATGCGAATAGGTTGTGATGTGACATTTTCACACCATGGGGAGACAAGAGTCAATGTTCATTTAGGTAAAAAGCGGATACGTCTTAGACTAAAAAGGCAGAATATGGTGTGTATCCCTGCAGAATGGTCCAGGTGGTTTGAGGGCAACTACAGCATACAACTGCCTAGAACTAAAATGCCCAGAGAACGGCTCCATGTTCGCATTCATACCACCACAAGGTTTTCGTTTAAATAACGATTTGGAAAAAGGGGCGCCAGTATAAAAGTCAGAGCGTTTAATGCACCTGAACATAATTCCTTGAAAGACTGGTGAAATGGGTTTGCAGATAATTCCTGGATGACACATAGAAAACGGATTACGCACATATTTTAAGACTAGCTAATGCCTTAGTGGGTTAAACGAAGCGATGAGACTACAGAGTAAATCAAAATGTATGAACGGGATAGTCATTTTATTCATACATTTACAAAGTAAAACAGAATGAAGATAATATATGAAAGAAACATGCCGGAAATTATGCTAGAGGTGAAGAAACTTAGTCTTCTAAAGGTATGCAAATGTAGACCACCAAACTCAGGTGCGAAATTCAATGTATCGAAGAAGGTGCTCTAGGCTTCATTCCTGTGGATCGAATAGGCACTGCCAAGCATCCTTACTAAAAGCGAGCCAAACCTAAAAACAGATAATCCAACGTGCGTCATGTATCCTAGTGACAAATGTAAAAAGTAAGTAGCCGACTTTAATGCTAGGATACTGAGTTCAGTCATATTCTGGATCACAGAAACATAGACGTCGTCACACGATTGCGGATTGTAGACTGTATAATTGGGAGAAAAGTCGGGACGATCCGGGTTATCGGCAGAGAAAATGAAATAATAATGATACTGATAAGCTATCCGAATGCCCGCAGTGTTGTACACAAACACACCAAAGGGGTTATACTTCAGGTAAAGAGAAATGTTTGTGCAGATCATCAAGAGTTAGAGACACCGATTCGGCAAAGACCACTAAATGGGATGACATGGAAACAAAAAGATTGGATTTAGTGGGCAAAAGAATGTTTAACCGAACGATCTGACGTCGGACGATGGACGTGTGGAAAGGACAGTGACGGCGAGAATCTGAAAATGAGCATTCCCATAAGTCGAGAGGCGATAAAAGAAGTCCCGATTTACACGGAAACCAACTGGGACAAATGTGAGATCAGTGATTGCACACAGAATGATGATGTTTAATCGAAATGCGCTCGTTAAAAGGAACGATGAGACCTATTGGTCTAGTACTGCGCAATATCACGAGTGGCTGGATCGAAGTGCAGCTCAGCAAAAGCACGAGTAAAGTCACGTGGATAGACTCAGACAAAGTGACGAACAGCTTAGCCGAAATTCAGCCTACAGAGAATAAAAATCAAGGGCCTAGTTAAGGGTTGCAGGAATAAGCGGTGCAAACAGTCGGAGGGGAGGCGGAGTACTAATGCAGTCAGTGACTGGTTAGTCGAGGTTTCACACAGGGTTGTAATGAACACCAGACGAAAAGAATTGTTAAGACGGTGAATAAGAAGCACACCAAATTGAAAAGAAGGGAAACAATACACCAGGATAAAGTGGACTGTGCGGCTAGTGAATGATTAATCACCCGGCGGTGAGAACGCTAGAATTAGACGCAGTGGTACAAGTGGACCTGATTTGTATAGGGCGTGAAGAGTGATACCTGCAAGCTTTAGGCATCTTGCGAGATAAGCGAGTAGCCTGAATCGAAGAAGAAAAATAAGGCAAATTGTTAGATACTACTGATGCCTGTGAAGTGTAGACAATCAAATCAGGTGACGAGATAATGAAACGCATGAGTTGTACCAATGTGGGACTGATGTACGGTCACATTGAATAAACCACTTCACGTTACACTACAGCTAGATCATTAGTCGAATTCAGAAAAGCACCATGTTGCCTTTCGAATACACTGTGCGCAGTTAAGTGACGTCGATTATAAAAACCGCGAAACAGGCGACAGGAGACGCGGTATAGCGTGGTCCACTTAAATCAGCCTAGTCAAGAAATGCTCGGTTTTGGAGGGTAACATGTCTACAGCTGAAAGAAGAACACACTGTGTGAAGGTTGACCCTGTAAGCGTAACCACGAGCGGATAATACCAAAGTGAGCGGCCATATTCGATAGGAACAGCACCGACTAAAGTATCCAATCAGTCAGCATTTCGCCGGATAACTCCGTGACAATAGTACGAATTGTAAAAAAGCAATAAAATATACTTCCGGGAAATGAGAGCAATGGATCTACAAGTTCAACCGAGAAAAATTTGTAGTAGCGCCTGTGTGATCTTCTATAGATTTGTTCTTCGAGCGTGATAAGCGGGGTCAAACCGACCACGCATGCGAAGAGCGTGGGTCAGACGCACCAAGGTGCATGGGCAAGCTATTGCCTTACATGCGTTTCCTTGCTTGAGATGAAGCTTCAGAGAAGCGTTCGAATACTCTGATGGTAGCGCAACCGAGTAGAATGGTTGGCAGCTCACTTGTTGAAGTAATGTGCACTCAGCAACTGATCTAGCGGCAAACATGTACAATAGGCATATGTAAGTAGAGAGGCAAACAAAAGATGCCCCGAAGTCACCAGGTACAAAGGCACTTTAATGACCCCATTCCAAACGAAGTGACCCGTGGCTACTTGAGTGGACTCAAAGTCCACCATGGGATAACCACAACATCAAATCGAGGTATGCTTAAAAGAAGAGAGAACACGAGCTAATGGGATAACGACAAGCGAAAAAGTGCAAGCACATGAACATGCAAATGCACCACACACGTGCCAAAATCAAGAGAGATTTGCAAACGCGAAAATGCTCTGCAGCAGAAAACAGCTACAAATAGAAAAGTGAAAAAATACGGGAAAAACACGCATCCAAAAGGAAGTTGGTATGCATTAAGAGTGGATGTACCTTCGTGCTTTCTGATTTTGCCTCGCGGCTTCCTGTTGAATGGAACAAAGTGAAAGAAACGAAATGAAAGAGATCACCCTTGTGGATATGTCGATTTATTGGCAAATACAACACTACACCAGAGGACTATTCCGAATAAAATGACATTGACAAAATGGGCACTGTGAAGCAAACACAGGCCCACCCATCGGTAACTCACTAGAATTGCACGCAAATGACACTCTACACATGATGAGTAGCATGGGGAGAAGCGAAGAAAGTCATAAAAAGGTTAACCCATCCGGGAAATGAATTTGCAAACCCCATTAACTGGAAAAGACGGGATTGTCGTTCCAATCGATAACCATTGAGACTCATCAGTAGCCTAGTCAGTAGCTCTATGATGCGCGAAGCACGCAAAATGCACTATACGAGTCACATACAGAACGGCATTTGCTGCCCGTGAAACAGAGGCCAACAAAGTCTTGTAACCGCGAGGTCAATCGAGAACAGAGGTAACGCGAATCAGTGGCACGATGGTGTCGTGCAAAATAGAAGCATAGTAAGGGGTGATTGTGATGTATTAGTTATAAACATTCCAACGATTCTAAAACATGGAATTTAAGCAAGTCTACTGGTCATACGGCAGGGAGTTTGGTTCGGAATCAACCATCACCACCACAGATTGGAATAATGATATCCAGGGGAAACAGATGATTGATGGGTAGAAAAAGCATGTCAATTCAAGGAAATTATATGAAAAGTAAAGCAGCAGAGTTGGGCGGCAGAGTAGACGTAACAAGGGAATATTCAACGGGTCTCTTAGGGGAATCACCAGTATCAAGCAGCTGGAAAGGGCCTCTAATGAGGACGGTCAGCAATCAATACAAGGAGCGAAGCTGCCGAAAAACACTGCATTATACTTCGTAGCAATGTATGATCAAATGCGACCGAGAAAAAGAGCAAATGGAGCATGCGCGGGTAAATAATGTCAAGAGAGACAATGACCGAGGTGTAGAAGCGCCGTGACAAGAATTAGACGCAATAAGAGTGACTACTGAGTCAATAGGTTTTCTCGATCGCTTCATCAGGCAGCACTGTACGCTGACAAGTTGATCCGGGGAAAATTGGTTTCTGTGATATCTCCATAAAATTACACACGGGGACATGTGTGGGCTTACATTAAGCTATAGCTGAGTTGACTACATAATGTTAGGTACGTGGGAAGTGCCAAACATTAAAATTCGTCGTCAACTTCGTGACCGTAATAACCAGTAATAAATCCACACCACCTGCTTTAACCATAGCGGAACTCCTACCAATTGAGTAAATTGACAAAACTATACACAAGAAAACGGTGAAACTCGTTTGAAATCGGACTCAGTTCCTATGCAAGCATTAGGAAAGGATGAATTAAGATATAATAATAATAATAACAATAACAATAATAATAATAATAATGTGTAAGCTGTACGCCGTAACGGCGCTTCGCTGCCATGCGAACACCACCAGTCGCAGGCGGGATGGCTATACCACAAGGACACCTACCCTTAGGCTGATCCGAACCCGCGCCGCAAGACTACGAGATAAGCTCGTTACTTCTAGGCTACGGGCCAACGAGGAATTAAGAGCACTGAAAGCTTCGACGGCCAATTCCGATGAGCAGCTGCAAGGTCATTGTGATGCGCCACTAACCTGATTTACAGAAAGAGCCACTCGAGGTAAGCAGCCAGTTCACTGATGTAGGTTGGTGTGTCATTTCTGACAGTGAAATCGATAAGCAATCTGATGCACACGTCGATAAGGCGCATGTGAAAGCAAACTACTCGCTTGGCAGTGTTTTCACCAGTGCTACCACGTAAACCAATGATATGGACAACACGCGTAGAGAGCATTATAAAACTCCTGTGCTACGGCCATGGATAACTGCATAGTACCACCTATAACTGGAGGAAGGACCGAAGGAGTAAAAGTGATGTGTGACATACAGTGCTTGATAAGTAGGATTAACAATATCATTATTAGTAAGCGCATTTATAGATACCCCAGAAACGACACCAATAAGTGACAAGGAAGTTATTGTGTAGATGTGAGTGTGCTCTTGTGTGCACAACAGGCATGTGGGCGAGTACTACTGCGTATAGATGACCAAGACAAAAGCATGGCGTTCATCGGTGTGATTCAGTGAGTAGTTCCAAAAGTGAAGTTGGAATTGTGTTTACACCCAGTTGTATTAGAAATTCAAACGTTCGTGTGACATCAGAGTCATGATGAATGCGCAGCCAACTGTAACTCCGCGGTAAGCAGGTATTAGGAGGAGTGTATTCATGTCTTTTAGTTCGCGTCTCATAAAAGAAGAAACCCACAACTTACACTGAGAAGTTTCTTCATGCATTTTTGTCATACACACACTTCATCTAACGAGGTGCTGTATTGGTAACAAATTCACGAACGCTACCGTGATGAGTTTTACACATGAGGAAGTTCAATCATCTGCCGGAAAGTGAAAATATGGTCAATACACCATCTGTCAGGGCAGAAGCCGACCTCACGGCATGGTCCATGCCAGTAGTTTGAAGGTGATATGGATGAACCTGATACCCGGATTGTTTTCACAAAAAATCGTTTGGCTTTTTGTACAGTGATAGTGAATGACAGTGACGATGTGCAGCTCTGAAGCGCGTAACTGGTAAGCCACCTCATATCCTAAGGTCTATATACCACAACTTCTGAGGCTTGCAAGTGATTACAGGAAACTACGCCCCGATTTCAATCACGACAAGTGGAGTACGTCAGGGTTACCCTAGCTCTCCCACTCACTTAAACCTAATGATAGAAATAAGGTATAATAATATCTTCATATGATCTTCTCCCACATCTGCGGCAGAGATCCTGATACGTGATCGACCGATGAACTCATAAGACGCGGAAGGCGCAACTCTCTCTGAACCGGACGCATCAGCTGTGCAACCGTTGCTAATAGGCTGACACGTGTCACTGCACGTTTTAGAAATGGCATTGCACCTTCAAAGTGCAAAGTAAGACAACGAGATTGGGTCAAAAAGCTAGCAGTTTCCACACTCATGGAGGTGGTCGATCAGTACACTCATTTAGGTAGCTTTACCATCCATGGTGGTCTAATCACCGAGGGTATCACATAAGCGTTGCTAGGACTCTCCTGACCTACCAAAACCTCGTTAACTTATGGCGACGACGGATATCAGCCAATTGGTTAGAGTAAGGTATTGCAGCACGACCAGTGTAATTGTATTGAGCAAAGAAATGGTCGTTATGGGCTGAAGTTATTAGAAGAGTGACGGAGATTGACCCCGAAGTTTGCAGACGAGTGCTTGTGAGTGGTGAGAGAACTGAGGGTGCGCTGCTGAATTTCTTCATCTGGTGCTCCAAAACAGACCCATCAGTGCCTGTTGAAATCAAAGAGCCTGAAGGGGCTCAGTCAATTGCACCGTGAGCCATCCCGATTTGAGCTGTGCCAATATCGTACCTAGTTGAGCGAACCCCCAAGATCACCAATCAGTGGCATTAAGAAACCCTTTGAAATGTTGAGTCGGTTTGATGCGTGTCGTTTTCCCGGAACTATTGCATCATTGGTTAGATACTCTATCGAATATGGTGCAGCTAGGTGGTTAGTGATACAGATGCATTCGTTCCGTTGGCGGTTCCAATTACAGTAGGCTCCTTTAAGGATATTATTATCAATGGTAGTAGTAGTAGTATCAGTCAATAAACTGAACCAACCGTTAATTCTTAATACAGTGTAAACGCGAGTGGTTCAATGAATCTAATGGAAGTGAGTGGACCGAAAATGGTGTCCTGTGTTCAGATAGACAACAAAATTGCATGGCAAAGTCGAATTCGCTTAGATTTCCGACTCAGTTAAATAATCAGAAGGCGAAGAGTGGAGGGAATTGACCACAACTGCGGAGAAAAGTCAATGCAGACATTCGCCCTAAACTAGTCCTGTTAATGAGAACTGGGTCCAATGATACCCGTCAAGTGGATGACTAGGGATGCTAGTATTAGAGATGATAAACAAGGTTTTCAGTGGTGAGCAAAACGGGTTGGTAAGCATACTACTGTGTCCAAAAGGAACCGAACTCTTGGGATATCAGGACAACCGACAGAGTAGAAGCGTTGCGCATATTGAGGGCATGTAAGGCTTGTTAAGACAACAAGCTGCCATTTAATGCGCTTCACTCTGCCCGTTAATTGGCGTGCCCTCAGTAGCTGCAGCGCGTTCCTTCTGTTGGTTGGCGCGCAACTTCAAGAGTCGGGTTTCCTATTGAACACAGCAGCACTTTGGGCATACTCCGATCTAAAGTCTAGTATAGTAAAGTATAGAAGACAATCCCGATGAGACTGGACCTTAACATGGTGCGATGATTTGTGTGCCTCAGTGATCCATTGTGCTATGCTGGGTGGTGCTTTTTGCATCTTCAGAGCCACTCATGCTAGATGGGTCAATGGTTAGAGGCCAGAGAAATTCAGCCTCCTGACCCTCCAGGTTGTGGTGAGGGTGGCTCCTTATTCCATAAAACAGAATCTCTGTAGTTCAGTGCCAAAACCGCGCTGCTTGCGTTAAGGTTTTTGAACCAAAGGCTTTGGTTGAGAACCCTACTCGTTCTCCTGTCTGGGCCTGGGCAATCTGACAGTATCCTTCCCACGCAATACACCATGTCCTTTCCTTCTAACAATCTCTTGATGCTCTGGCCGTCACAGAGGATAATAAACGGCGTCCCATCTGCTGCATCGAGCAGGATGGATAGGGGTTTGGATGCCACTTCTCAAGCTTTCCCACGTTCTTATTCCCCATCTTGCGCTTTTTCATCCTTTTTGTCCCGTTCCAACTTCGCTTGCATCCCCCCGTTTTCAATGTCCCAATTCTTGGCCCTTCCCCACCTTGCTTCAAAAGTCGCTTGTATTTTAGTTTCAATTCACACACAATCGCAGGACGTCGCTGCAATCCAATCGACAAGTCCATGTTCAACCAAGCGGACAACGTCGGCTCATCCAGTTCCTTTTGGAGTCCTCGATCCTCGCTACGACTGGCGTGCCTCAACATCCGCATTTTGCCACAGATTGGCCAACAAGCAGCACTTGCCCGCACACGAGATCCTCTCGATCGATGTTTGCTGTTTATAAAAAACCCGCCTGCAAGATTCGAGCTCCCTGCTTACTCTGCGATTCCCCACATGCGACACTGACTGCACATTCTCATTGCGCCTGTCTGGCGAGGATGCAGTTTCAAATGCCACTCAAGCTGGCGTCTGCAATGTTTTGAGTCTCTGGGCTGAAGCTGCCCTGATCGACTGGATTCTGTCAACAGCCAGATGTGTGCTGTTAGGTTGGCTGGCTCGTTCCAGGCTTCGAAGTCGTGCGAGGACAAACGGTGCCTGTTTGTCATTGCGGCTCAAGCGCCCACAAACTGCGGCCCTGATTATGAAGATGATTTCTATCACCAACTTAACGATCTTCTTCGTTACAGAAGCACGGCTACTATGGTGATTGCTGGTGATCTAGACGTTCAAGTCAGAAAATTGTCCTCTGATGAGCTTCATCTGGGCGACCAACATGATGCAGGCTCCGTAATGATAACGGTGAGCGATTGCTACACCTATGTGAAGGGTGCTCATCGCTTTCTCGCGAGCATTAACTTTCGACACAGCACTCGCAGAACAGTGAGTTGGCGCCCACCAGTCTCGTCCCAGCTAAGGACGCAAATCGATCACATCGCAATTAGTTACCACTGGAGTGATTGAGTGCAAAACTGTCGCTCGATTTGGAGCACCAGTGTGGACTCCGACCACGCTCTCATAGGTGCCGACCTGCAGGTGCGTTTCGGCGGACGTCCGTAACGTCGCTCTGAGCATACTGTCTCTGTCGTCTTGGGAGGGTCAAGAAATATGGAGTTTCTCCTCTAAATCTTCGGTATTAATTGAAAAGCATTAAACTTAAGCAATCAGCTACTGGAAGATGAATTCAAACGGGAACCCTTATGGAGCTGAAGGGAAAGCCATTGCACGACTGAGCGCCGATATCACGATTGACAGGCTAGAAGATTCGAGAACGAAGAGCGCGTGTTGCACGGGTCAAATAGTTACGGTGGCTGATATAGCAACAGTAAAGTGAAACTTTGGTAAGTGCGATTATCCGATTGATAACTGCATACGTTGCAGTGAAACGTTCCGCATCCAGGTGAGTATGTGTACCAAACACAGCCAACCGTCATACGGAGAAATGAAGGTGAGGAGGTTATAACGATGGAATGTTGCAGCAATAGTGGTCAGCCGCTAACTGTGACAGCTTATGTCGACAATTGTGCGGTTGCTCACTAGAAGTCATACAACGCTATTCTACACGAATTCTGCCTCTGAAACCCACTCTGATGTGACTGAGCGTGGTGGCTGGGTTTTATTAGTCGCATCACCTATCCAGTCTAAGTGTGCATCGAAACAATTGAAAAATGTAGTGGCACGTAGTGCTGTTTTATCGTTGTGGTAATGGGTGGGAATTTGTGTCACTCAATGATGGAAAGCAATGATGTACCAACAGTGTAAGTTCCCCAGCAAATAACTAGTGGAAAGGACCATAAGCTGAATCCATTTAGTGATAAACCAACAAATCCCTAAAAGATGAACTTTGTGAGTTGAACGTGAAGGTGACTCAACAACTTTGATTCTAAAGAGAATTTCCTATATACAGTGAAATATTAATAAAAAGCCAGTGCAGCGCCAAAAAAAGTGAAGGGGAAGTCAATCAGTTGGCGATTTGGGTAGAAAACAACCTGGGTTTCGGAGAATGTGATACCAAATCCGGAAGCAACGTGACAATGTCGACAAACACGTTTGCCAGGCACATGAAGATCTGTTGCAAATCATAAGGACGCACACAGATGAGAAAGTTGGGTGCGCCACAGACTATCGATGGGAGAACGAACACAATACTCGATACTGGAGCGGGTGATACAGGGCTCTTAGGCAAATGATTGACTTCAACTTTCATCTACTTTCTGGCCAAAAAGGTGTTAGTTCGAACAAAACCGGATGACACAAGCAATATAAATGTTGCCATCTACGCCAAGGCGACAAACGGATCGAATACATTTGGAAGAGGAAATGGTTGGCACACAGAAAAGCATGGGGAAAGACCGGGAGATCAGTAAAGATGAAAATGGGTGGTGCGAATGGAATGCAGGGTAATCGTGTCCTAACAGTGGGAATGTATACTGCGCAGAAATCGAGATTGGTGAAAACTTACTGCGGGGTGACGCGATAATCAGATGTAGGACGCATGTAGAAACCATGGTAGGAAATGTAATCCCTGTAAAGGGGGGGTGGGACAGAGAAAAAGAAGTGAGATGCGGAAAGCCTCAGGGAGGGAGAGATGGAGAAACTAAACGTCAGGTGAGGTTAAAAATGACTTGATGCACTCGTTCCTAAGTTCAACTGTTCGCCAAGGTTCGCAATCGGTATGCAAAGGTTTCATCACCACACGAGGTGACTTCCTCAGTGGGAAGTTTATGCGAATAAGAGACTGGGATTAAACGCGTTGGATGGAGCGAGACAAATATGTCGAGAAGACCAAGTGCAAGTGTACGGCAAAGTGCATCCCCGAACGAAGATTCGTGGTCCTCGAATCAAAAATGAAAAGTTGCTGGACTGACCAAAGCGAAGTGGTGTAGCAATTGGAACAATGGTATATTACGGGCAAAAAGCGGGCTTACTGCGAACTAGCCGGCGCAACACGCGTAGAGAAATGCGCTCGAAAACGGAACAAAAACAATGTACCACGCAAAATACGCACACACTTCACAATTTCCGTTAACCGTCTACTCAGAACATTCAGTCGAACAGCTGCAGTTCAATAACGCAAATCACTAGCAGATTACAATGCGTTTGTTTAAGGAAGCAGTTGTTTGCAGAACAGTGAAGTGTCGGCAAATCAGCTCACACTGACAGTGCGAATGATCAACTGATGCAGTGAGTTGCCAAGGTGAATGAAAGATATGGTTCTGTAAGAAAATAATAAAAACGAAAAATGCCACGAACTTCAGGGTTATTAAAATTCTGAAGCGAAACAAACTGCGTTTATGGTTTTCTGAAAGGAATTGTACTGATCTATGGATGAAAAAGCCATTTAAAACTTACGAGTTAAAAGGTGAGGCAAAATCAAAATATCGCGGCCTCCCATGTTAACCCTGATGGTCCAGAGAAACTCGCGGCGATTAATATCTGAGGTCCTTATGATTCAATCTCTATAATGGTAACTGGTAGTTCGGGTGGACGGAACACGTAAGATTAGCAAACAGAAAGGAAAGCAAGCACCGCACCCCCATGCAAACTGACCGCAACCGCACGTGCGGACATGTGTGATTCAACCAGTCCAGTCTGTTGAGCCAGTGTTGAAAAGGTAGACTGAAGGATGAATGGATGGATAAGTGCGTGGTCAGCCCATGTTGCTAGTAGCCTTATTTACAAATCCATGCCTATGGTCGCGTCGACGTGGGATGTACCATCGCTGAAGTTGGGCCGTGCTAGAGGAAAGCAGTTGTATGCTTGATGTGAGCTCTTAATTGATATATTTAGTCCGACTACGCACGATGGAAATGCTGTTAATATGTTAACCTGACCGATGCGCTACCATGAATATTAGGTCCAAGAAACTGCATATATTGTTAACGGAGAAGAGGCACCGTGTCCGCAACAGTGCCACGCGCACAGTATGTTTCAGTTCTGGAACCAGCAGCAGTCCAGGCACAGTTCCGTGGACGACCAGTACATGTGTCACGGCAAAACACGCGTTAAGAAATTCCGCGGCAAAGGAGTACAGGTCGCAACCATGGTCAGTGCGAGATAAGACAGAACTATGGCATCACAGCCATGAATGTACTTGGTTAGGTTACTACAATTAGAACGGCAATAATCCTCAGCGAAGATTTTCGCCTCGAAATCAAGCCAGAACGCGGATGGGCAGCGTTTTCAGAAAAGGGCATCGCGCCATCTTCGATGACAAACATACAAGACCAACAAACGGAGAGTGGTCATTCCTAACCAAAAGTAAAATAAAACAGATCTACGGATCAAAGAGACAAGAAAGGCGCCGTAAAACGCCAAAATCAAATCGCATCGCAACGGACTACGAGACGCGCAATATACCTCACAGATGAATGAGGCCTGGAAAGTAGGATCTTGAATGAGCTGCTCGTCATAGGCGAAACAGGTGTAAGGTGATTGCCGAAGCATGTAGGTCATGCACCAGTCTACTCAGAAGCGCTAGTTTAGAAATCGAGAGAGACAAGCAGTACGTGTAACTACGGTTCAAAACCCTGTCGTCTGGTAAAAGGACCGCTAAAGGGGAAGTAGAAAACATCGTCCTAGTGATTGTTATGAACATTAAGCAGGAAGAAGGTGAAGGAATAGGATACTCTTGGTTGACACTGCACATTATGATATACTCGGGGGAACGCTTCCCGGAGACGTGTACAGTACTCGGGCAGTCGTAGTACATAGGGATTAGGACCGACACGTCTCCCGAAGGCGGAAGTGCAAAAGGCACGTGAGATCGACTGAATGAAAAGTGAGAAAAACAGGGTCCCGTGGCGGAGCTGTACGCTATGGGACGCATTCCCAGATTGCGGATCAGAGAATGCTTGGTTTGTGGAGGTAACTGCGAATAAGCCTTGTTTGCCTTGCAGGCGAGATGAATAAGCAGTCGCGGACAATCAGTGGCAGCGTCTCAGAGCGTGGGGAGTTCTCGGCTGGTCACCTGGTTCTCCACCAAATACCACAAGAGCTCATATGGCGCTGTGTCAAAACCAATATGCCTGGTTATAGGGTCACTAACCTCTCACTTCTGTAACCGAAAGTGAGTACCTAACGGAGGGTGAATGAATAACCTTGTTGGTCATCGGCTTTTCTGTGGACTGCTACAGAACACAAAGCAGAATGAGCAACCCGGATGTCAACGGTATTCGTTAAATGTCCCATGCCTTGCGAGTCAGGACTTTATGACCAAAGGCTCGGAGTGGGGTCCAATAATTCAACCCTCTTCCTAGGTCTGAGCAACCGGGAAGATCTCTGCCCACACAATACATTAACGTTCAAAACTCTTCCACTGTCTACCTGTTTCCTCTTATGTTGTAGTTAACTATGTGTTGTGGCACTGCCAATAGTATATTGGTCGTGTTGAATAATAATAATAATAATAGGCAATAATATACAGCAGGGTGCTCAGATGTGACGGTGACAGACAATCTGGCAACGTGTGAAAGTGAAGTCAATGCGACATTAAATATGGTGGAAATCAGTCTAGATTTCACTGGTTAGAGTAACATGGAAATCAGAGTCTACGTAGGAAACATGTCAAAAAGAAATAGGAAAAAACGAACACCACAATGGTTTTCATAAGACGTCTTTTGGTACAGGCGATCATTTTGTTGATGTTCAATGCTAACACGATGAGTCTCGCACTTGGTGGGCTTCCCTTGCTGACATGCTTAGGGCAAAGTGCAGCGAAAGACCTGTAACTTGGTTCGCAGAGGGCAATTTAAGATGGCACTCTATACAACGAAACACAGAGGATTCAAGTACCATACGCAATTTCAAAAGAGCCGTTGATTTACTTTGAGGTAAACATAAATCGTTTCAGTCACGGGAACCGTATCCGAAGTGGAGTTTGCGGCGTTGCTCGTTCTCATCACCATCGAGTTCAAGCTTGCATAGACTGATCACATAGAGAGCCACATAGATCTGTGAGTGGAACCTGGAAAGCAGTGGTTGACGGCTTAGGTTTTGAACCCTATATCACTAAAATCCGCGAGAAACGTTTGGCACGGAGGCCACCAATTCTTACAAATCTGGGAGTGGCATTCTGTGGCGTCTTCTAGATACCGGAAATACAATTAGAAAAGCGCCAATCCGACGGTAAATCTATGAACTTCGGAGGACTGAAAGGAGCAGTAAGTGCAAGAACAATTTATTCATCGTCGTCCTTCATCAAGAAGTGGTTAGGTCGCTGGAGTCTGGTGAATCATTGAGTACAAACAAGAGTGTGCCATGTCAAATCTCCTGAATTGTGGTGTTCTTGAGCTATCCAAATCATTAGTCTAAGATAACTTGTCATCTCCTATGACGGAGTACAAGAGACCACTAAAGAGTGATGAGTCTGGCACGAGTGGATTAGTCATCAGGAAAGCATCACTCTGTGTAACTGAGTGGTCCATCAAGGCCTGATCTTAAAACAATCAAATCGGGCAAATTACAAATGAGACATGTAAGTTTAGTGAATCGGTAAACTTACGGTTCCTCGTAATCTGGACTGTATTTCTCAGTTTTGCGATATAAACTGGATAATTTGACAGCGAAGATAATAAGTGGAATGAAGAGCAGCAGAATTAGTCCGAGACCGGCCCAAAACGCGTTCTATGAAGAGAGTAGGACAAGAGAAGATATGAAACACAACAATTGAAAAAGCAACAGAGAGAGAGAAAAATGCAAATGGAAAGTACGGATCGATGAGGCGGGCAGGGTTTTGTGGCACGGATTCACAACTGAGGGCAATCGTATCAAAGTTACCTTGACAGGGCTTACGTTCGGTAACAGTTAGTGCTACCATGCACTCGTCAAAGCAGTACGATGCACTGCTATCTGGTGATAAGACAGATGTTACCAAAAGAGCCAAAGACACCGCTTAAGTGAAACGGGATCTATAGACACAGTGGAAAAGAAAAAACAATCGTGCCAAATTGGCGGAAACGTGAACATGAAACCTGAATGGGATCAAAAGGGTATGTAAAGAAAACTACACACATTGACCTGCCACGTAGGTTGATAAAAGCGGTTAGACCATGCCATCATCATAAGGTAGTGTGATACGAGAAGAGGTGGTTCATTCGTGAAGTATCTTGTCAAATTACAAAATGTAGTGGGGGGGGGCTGAAGGGCATAGGTAGAAGTTCATCACGCCTGGCCTCAGTCAGACAACATTCGCGCGTCCGTAAAAGCACTGTAGGATCGGTTCATCCTTTCGGGAATCGTCAGCAATGCACATTCTATCAGAACGTTGTGGGACTCGAATCCGCAACTCTAATGTTGCCCAACTGTGGTTGAGACCACTGAGCTACGGGGGTAGCAATGATCGCCGTGACTAAGTTACTAGATGTGCGATAGCGTTGCGCTATCCATTGACCTGCACGCTACTATCATGCGGCGGACAGGGCAGCCCTTGCTCATAATACCATAAGTTAACATAGCGGCTAAAGTTGTCAAGGTCGTCGCATGGTGACGGGGCTACCTTGTCCTCTGCACGGTAGTAACGTGCAAGTCAGTGGATAGTGAGCGGCGTTATATGACACCTAGTAATTTTGTCACGATGGTCGGTACCATCCCTCGTAGCTCAGTGGTCGCAAACAGACTGACAACAGTCGAGTTGCGGGTTCACGCTGCACAAGGGTCAGATGGATTAAAGGAAGTTGTGGGTTAGGTGAATTATGGACTGGGAGCGAATGAGTAGATGAAGAAAAAAGGATGTGTAAGCGATAGAGGGTTTTATAACCGCGAGATTATTCAAAAGAACCCATCAAGAAAGATACCAGAAGTTGAGCGTCTCACTAACATGAGAGTGAGGCGGGATAAAAGCGTTATGCATAAAAATTTGAGAGACGCGAATGGCACGTGTGAGGCATAGGACGCAAATTAAACTCACTAATGGCATAAGTATTGTAACACAAACAGCATCGACACCACGTTTGACAGCCAGATGCAGTGGTCGGCATGGAATATCGCGCCAAGTAGCGATAACTGCCAGCTGGAGCTGTTCCTGTAGTATCGGACGAAGTTTCTGTAGCCCAACGTCTACGTTCTAAGACGAAGAAGAGAAATGATATAAAGCTGGGACAAGTTCACAATATGCCAGCCACACACGATAGAGATGTTTCAACTATGTATGCTGTTTCGGCAGTTGAAACGGAAACATAAAGCCAGAGAAGGCGATTATTAAGTGTCTTAAATGAAGTAGGAACATGGGTCATGACGACAAGATGCACACAGAGACAGACGCAAGTTGACTACAAACTCGATGGTGAGGACACACGGTGTGAATATTGTGAGGGAAGCCAATGTGGCCGGTAAATAGTTGCAAGGAGCAAAGGCCATTGGCTAGTAGAGCGTGAATCGACCACTAAAGTCTTCCAAGTGTTGATTTTACTTACCACGCTGACAATAGTAAATGAAATGGAAACGGATACTCAATTCCGTAGAAAATATGCAATGCTGTGCAAAGGTGACATCCCCATTCGGTAAGTGTAAGCGTGTTTAACGATATGCGAAGGGTTTATCGAAGCAGACAAAGCACGTGGGGCATAGGGTTCGATTGTTGACGTTGTGGTTGTCCAGGATAGCGAACGCAAAGTCATGGTAATTGTTGATGGCATATACAACTATGATTCCATCATGCTGGAACAAACACGCGGCCCGACAGTACATGTGCAGGAAAGTTAACACAGTACAGATAGCGACCTTGAAACGAAATAACGTAAGCTCGACCTGCGACACAACACATGCACACACATGTCCCCAAATGAACCGGAAAGATGAATCACCACTGAACTAACTGAAGTTAACATTCAGTTAGTAGTCCTATTTAGAGGAGGATTTTCTAGCCATCCACTGATTATGACACAATGTGATGGTTAAAAATCGGCTTGCGTAATGATATAGCACATTCGGAGCGGCTACAAAAAGCGGATCATTTGACTAGCAGTGCACAACAGGTAATAACCAGAGGAAGAGACTGGATTTCCACCGTTGCTCAGTTGAAAACTCTCAAAAGAAGTGGCCAGGACACGAATCAGCGTAGTATTTAATGAGCGGCGAGAATTAGTTAACAGAAAGTTAATACCTAATCGCTGCACAAAGTACTCCATGGAGGTAAACAAAGCTGCTGGAAAATAGCTGTGGATTCTGAAGAACTCTGTTCACTTCGAACGCGAATCTCACATTGACCTGAGAAGGGACGTCAGTAGTCAGTGAATCCGGGTTGGGATGGTAGTTTTTGTGAGATGTGATAATAAAAAAAAACCAAACGGCCATGACTGCCGTATTATCATCTTTGTGCAACGATGTATTTTCCGCAAGGGGGTTTAGAGAAGATAGGCCGACGCCTACGAAACAGCATGAAAGATCCCTAATGCCACAGTGTTGCACAGACTTTAATCGAATCCGTGGCGCTACGAAGAAGAGACGGAACAGTGCTGTCCAGCGGAAATTTACAGACACGCCATGATTGCCACAACTGCGAACTATGCTGACGAGTCACCGATTACCGAGAAAACTGCCTCTTAGCAAAGCAATGCCGGAAGGACCGAGCCAAATCTACAATTACATACAAGAGTGCTGGCCTCAGAGCAATGGTGTGAATGTCGACTACACAGTAAGAAAGTTGGTCGCGAATGAACAGCACAATGTAGGGAAATGACCAAGCGGTGAAGAAGTGTGCGAGCCTCATGAAGCGCAATAGACCGGAAAAAATTCGTAGGGTCAAAGTATATGTTTAAAAACAGCGACATGAAGTATGGGAAGTAGATTACTAAATCAATGTGTCAGCTGTTGATCTACCTATGTTGATGAATGGTCTGACGCTCTCAGGACATCAACGATGGTGTACAGTCGATGAGTTCCGGTTCTGGACAGGACAACTGGAATGAAATAGCAAGCCCTGGCAGCACGGTCTTGCACCTTCGTAGTTAAAAGAGAACAGCGACAAACTGGGTTCGCGGATACCCACACTGTTCAGCACTATACGAGCAATGAGTAAGCGCCTCAGGAACTGGTGGCATTTAGCACTCATTTCCAGCCTTAAAGTGGGTACATGAACATTGTGCGAGAATGGTCTAGACGTTAAACAAGTGCTCCCAAACTGCTCATAATCATCACACTGAGAATTCGCAGTGGTCATTGTGAGAGCGGAACCAATGACAGCCGGATAAATTTTCGATCAGGTGTATGAGGCTTCATCAGGTGACGGAGCAGCATCGAATATACCGACGGCCTAGTACAGTAGCCCAAGCTTACTCTGATGCCACCTATATTTTGGCAACCCCACCAGGTTGTAGTGTCAAGTAAATCTGGCATGCGCGCCGGAGAAACTCCAGTGCAGTGCGCCGACTTTCATAAATCCCCGTAGAAGTTGGTGGGATTAAGGGGACCCTAGTCCCGAATATCCAAGACATGCGAAGTGTGTCAGGACTGCCCTATTAGTACTTTTCTCCTCAACACTGTGAGTAAACTAATCCTGAACAAATTCGCACCAAATGCTCCTAAAGAAACCGACATTTTACTGGCTGACCACCTGACTAACTTTGAGGACGCGGACTACCTAACTTTCTTGGAGCAGTAGGGGGAACTAAGTGTTATGTAAGTGTTTGTGGATAGTGATGTTAACCGCCGCCTGTTGCGGTACATGTGTTATACTACAAAAGTTAGAGGCACTGATGGGGCATGAGCTGACAACCATATCATCAAGCAATCTGAATGCGGAATACCGTATTATGGGAGCTAGTAGAAATTTGAATCAGTACAAGCCCATCGAAATATGATCAAAAAGGTCAAAAAATTATATATGACCTATCGACACTGTGATCGATTTTCAAGTTCACACTTACAGTAAATTGGGACTCCTAAATGTGTGATGTCAATGGTTTTCGGAATTAACACTGGAGAAATGTGGTCAACGACCCGATAGCTAATTCCAAAGATTTTTAAATGCCGTGATTAAACATTTTCTTTACTTTGGGTTGCTCAGCTGCAAGCTATTTCGAATGCCACTTTCTCACTGGAAGTGACTGATCAACCCATACCCAGTACATCGACTGGCAAGTATTTTATCACAAAACCTACCTTGGTCTACACACGTCGCTGAAACATCTAACAAGATTAAAAGACTCTTTTTATGCCCTCAGACTTAGAATGCTTTCTGTACTTCGTAATTTGATTATTAAATTTGTGACTGCATGCTTTTTGCCACCTCACTACACTGTTCCCAGGTATATTTTCCTAGGTTGCTATAGAAAGATTACACATTGTTCTTACATTCGTCAAAACTTTTGCTAGATGCAGTGGACTGCCTACAGGCAACTTTTGATATTATAGTCAACAAACAAGTAGACGCTTGAACTAGCTTTTCCTACAAAACGACTCCTTTCATGTACTGTGTGGACCGCTGTCGAAAGCGCAATCTGTTCTTTCTACACGCTCTAAATTCAGACACTTATTTTCTCGCACGGCTTCTCACCGCAATTCGATCCTATCATACTTGTCACGGTTAATTGTGGACTCAGCAAAACTCAGCAGCATGATGCGCAGTTATTTGCTTGAGAAATAAATATATAACATTACAATTTTTGTCCATGTATTTCTTCATTCGTAGTGATGGTGTAGAAAGCTGAAAATGTATCTACCCAGGTGCATAGCTTACATTACTTTACTGCGGCTAGCTCCTGCGACAGGATGAGCCGGCTTCATGAATGTCGCAGATTGCAGCTGTCCAAGTGCGGCGGTCGGCGGCAGGCTCCATGCAGATACTAATCCAATGATTTTGCAAGTGACGAGCACCGTGGAGTCCCAGAATATCGACATCCGATTTGACTGCAGCTAGCCACGTTGTCACTGGTCCACCACGGCGATGACGCCAATCTTGGCAAGGCGAGGGTGAAACCACGGCCCTAGTGAAGTCAGTGTTTGGTCTGCGGACAACGTGACAGAACCACTGAAGTCTGCAGCGTTGGATGAGCGCTGAGAGGTTCGGAAGACCGTAACATAGCTTACGGATTTCGTCACTGCCACTGCGTTTTCAAGTCTTCGACACGAATGGACGAAGACTTCCAGCTTCCGGGTGTTTTCGGATCGCAGCGGCCATGTTACGCAACCGTAGAGTAAAATGGCACGAATGGTTGCTGAGAATACTTAGATCTTCGTCCTCAGACTAATTTGGTCCTTCGCCACAATGTGTTTCTCGGGTGTAGGAAAGCTGTTCTAGCGCTTTCAATACGAATGCCGATGTAGCCTGACCATTGAGGAGTACAGTGGATCCAAAATGCTTGAACTCGGGAACAGATTCGATGAGTTGTCCATGTACGAAGAGCGACGGGGCGGACTAAGTGGCTAACGATGAGACGTACTTCATCTTGCTGTTGTTAACTTCGAGGCCGATCGTAGAGACTGATTGGCCGACCCGATTCAGCAGTGACTGTAGTGATATAGCATCTTCTGCAAGGATAGCGATATCGTCAGCAAATTATAGATCTGACAACCGGAAGTCAGGGCTAACTTAAACATAACTTGAGCATAACCCAGTAGACTGCGAAGTTGAACAGCACTGCAAAAAGTGGGCAACCCTGCTAGACTCCAGTAGTTATGTCGTTTCTTCTCCAAAGACCCGAATTCGGGCCTTCGAGCAACGGGAGTATGATCTCATTAAGTTAACGACTTTAACCGACACGCCATCGGAAAGTAGGATTCCCCAGAGTGCTTCACGGTCAACTGAGTCAAAGACAGCTCGAAAGTCAACGAAGCACACAAACATGGGCACCTGGAACTGGTAGTAATGTTCGAGTACCCGACATAGAGTGAGGATTTGGTCAGTGCAGACTTTGCGTGGACGAAAGCCACCTTAGTTATGACGAGTTCGCAGGTTCCTCTCATTGGCAAAGCGGGAAAGCAAGATTTTGTGCGAAGTTTTGGCAACCACATCGATTAGACTAATCCCGCAATAATTACTGCACACAGTTCGGTCACCCTGCTTGGGAAATGGCAGAAGTATTGAAGTACTATACGAGGCAGGGCAAAGTTCGATTTCCTATATCG